ATTCTGTATTCAAGCCCTTTCAGAATTGATGGAGATGATTCCATTGCTGTGCAGCAGTGGGAATGAAGGGGATTGTCCCCCCTGGTCCCCCAAGGGCTCCTGTGGACACAGGCTGTAGGCCCTGATGAGGAACTCATCCCTGTGCTCTGGTGCTGGGCTGAAGTAATCGGTCAGGTTTGCTCCTTGCCAGCTCAGTGAACCTCTTAAATAAAGTTCAATGCTTGTACAATTGTGTTATGGGTTTTTAAGACAGTTTATTATTACTTCAAGTGTCAGTGGCGAAAAAAATTCCCCCCAGTTTCTGCATTTAATAAGTGGAACTCCAGCTCAGCGCTGCGTCCCGGTTCCAGCTGAACCCCACATTCTCCAAAGTCGTGCAGCACCACACGGCACAGCTTGGGGAGACCCCTGAATAGAGCTACTTCTGAAATGTTGAGATTAAACCATTCTGTCCTCACAGCTGCTTTTCCCTTCCCTGCCCATCAGCAGGACCATCCCTCTTGGGCTCTGTGCTGAAGGTGAGTTGCTCCATGTTCCTCCTCTGCCTTTTCTTTTTCTAGCATTCCACGTTTTCTCTTTTTTCCCTCTTTCCACGTGAGTGATTACTCTGCTTCACCCTTGTGTGGCCACCCCTGGAGTATTGTGTTCAGTCCTGGGCTCCACAGCTCAGGAAAGACAGGGGGCTACTGCAGAGGGTCCAGGAGACCACCAGGATGATGAGGGCTCTGGAGCACCTCTCCCAGCAGGAGCTGCGGAGCCGTGGGCTCACAGCTGCCCCTGCAGCCGGGCTGTGCAGCACCGAGGGTGACAAACCAGCTCGGGTTTGTTTTGGAAATGCAGCTCAGACATCCCTGTGCTTAGTGCGGAGCCCGCTGCCGTTGCCATGGCAATGGCACACAGACAACGCTGACAGACCTCGAGCAGCTGCTTCCCTCAGCACCCAGCGAGACTGGGAATCCAACCGGCTCTCACATTCCAGGTCTGCAGCAGAAATCCAGCAAAGCCTCTTCCCACCGCACCGCGGCCAGCCTGCATGTGAGCCAGCACGCCCAGGTAGCCCCAGCAGCACACCCACTCCTGGCTCTGAGGCTCCAAATCCCTTTGGATCCATGTGGCAATGCACTTCACCTGAGGAGCTGACATTCGGCTGCCAGAGCCGAGGGATGAGCTCAGGCAGTGTCAGAAATGCAGGCACCTCCACCCCGCAGCCAGAGAAACAGCTCCAGTTGCTCCAGCCAGTCCTAGCTGCCCGGTTTTGGAGGTTTTCAGCAAACCGACTCTGCCAAAGCTTTCCCGAAGTCACATGGATCCCACAAAAACAAAGAATCGCTGGTGAACCCATTTTAATTTCAAAATGAGGAAAACCAAACTGATGGGCAGGATCTTGCCAAAAGGTCAAACCCAGTTCTGGATGAAACAAACCTCTGTATTTTTCAGCATTTTAATAGCCATGAAGAGCTAAAGATACTTTGAGGTGTCAAGAAACAGATGCAAGATAATGGTTTGTGGATTTTATTAAATGTTATCATTTTACATGTTCATATATGCAAACCCAGCAACAGTGGGAAATGCAAAGCCTGCAGGACAGAAGAGCTGGTGAGTGAGTGTTCTGCAGTAGTATATGCAAGAAGTACAAAATGTTTTCTTCTCTATAAATCTATTTACTGCCCCTGTTTACAGTTTGCACACTGGATTGAACAATGCTCATTCATGTGGTGGTTTTGGAGGTCCTGAGCTCTCAGCAGCACCCATTTCCCATTTCCTGTACACACACAAACTCTATCTGAAAACTTTCTCCTTTATCCCTATTAAGGAGAATTTCCACATGCCATAAATCTGTCAGCTGCAATCCCTGCTCCGGGAGATACAGAGTGCTTTCAGCAACCTGGCAGCCAAGTAGGGAAATTCCAGCTGAAGTAACCTGGGACCCTTCCTTGAGGCTGACCAAAATACTTGATAGGAACAAATCTTGCCGCAATGAACTAGAAAATGTGAGATTAGGCACTTTATAAGGAGGAGCAGTGCCCTGCTGTTCCAGCTGGCTCCAGCACTCAGGAGACCCGATTTCTGTAGTTTAAATAAAACAGGAAAACAAACCCACAAAACCAGCCAGGGCCATCTCTCCCTATTTATGAGAGTGCAGTGGAATTTTCAAGCCAGCCAGAAACACAGTAGTGATATTTATGCCTGAACACTTTTATGCCAATATAGAAACCCTAATACTCCCAATTCCTCAACCTATGAAACCTGTGTAGCCACACTGGGATTACTGGGATGGATAATCTACAGTTCAGCTTCCCAAAGCCCGCTGGTGGCTGTGCATTTCCACCCCTGCAGGAATGTCTCATGCCACTCTCCAGTGCTGCACTGTGCCAGATCAAACACAAGGCTCGTTCCCGGGTGTTTCTGCGGGGACTGGGAGCAGATGAGTGCCTGTTGCTGTCAGCTGGAGTGTCTGCAGGGAGAACAGCAAGTCTGGAGCTGCTCCTGGACAGCCAGATTGGCTCCCAGACCCGGGGATGGAGCAGCAGCACAGCCTGGGAGCTGCTTCTCAACTCTGCTCACCTATCCAATGGAACTGATCCCCTTTGGAAAGGCAACAGGAACAGCAAACACTGGAAATGGGCAACAGCAACATATAAACCCAAAGGAGACTCCTGGATTTGCTGAGAAGTGCCAGATGCTGAAGTTGAACTGAAACTGGAGCTGGAATAAACCCCACCCAGCCCTGAGTTGCAGATGCTACAAAAACCTGCTGGTTTATATGATGTATAAACACAGAGCTAAGGGCTCTGCAAGGCTCAGGGGACAGAGCAGGGAAGAAATCCTCAACCCTGAGGAACGGCCTTCGAGGAGCAGTGGGGATCCCACTGCAGGAATGGGCAGTGTTCTGACAAGTGCACATTTCCCTTTCGGTTTCTCTGTGCAGTGAAGCAAACGTGCTCCTCAAATGCCCCAGGAGCCCGGATCCCTGGGCCAGGGAAGCCCAGTGCTGCCAGCTCAGCCTTTTCCTTGGCTCAGACAAACACTGCGAGCTCCCCAGGCTCCGTGTGCCAGCACAGGGTTTTCACACTGCCCACTCGGGGCTGAGGCTGTGCTCCGTGGGGAGCAGGGTACAGAGGGGACCTCTGAGCAGCACAGCAACACCATCAGCAAGATGGTTTTCCATATTCCCTTTCCTGCAAGTCTCCCTAATTCAGCACCAGGGAACTCGAGCACAAGGCGCTGTGAAAAACAAATTTTGATATCCTGTTATCCAGAAAAGGGCAGTGCTCACTGCCATAAAGATCAGTTTGAATCCTGAGTCACACATTTAATCTCTTGTCAGAGTGTTTTTGGCCGTGCTGGTGCTCACACAAATACCTGCTTGCTTTGAACCTTGCTGGATCAGCTCCTCTGGCCGCTCGTTTCAGTTTAATTACATGGCTTGAGAGAGTATTTCCACCCACCGTTTCCCAAAAGTCCCACTTTCTAAGTACCAGTGACTGTCCTTTTGGGGTAACAGTGTGAGACATCACACAGTTATCCTGTCATACAGGTTCCTCCTCAGGGACTGCCAAACCATCTTAATGAGGCTCCAACATGCCCAAACTAACCTTTTTCATAGCTGATCATTCACAAAATATCCACAAGAAATACTTGAATGCTCTAAAGGAATATGGTTCCCTGTTCTGAATGAGTTTCCACTGCTTTCGTACTACGTCTTTCCTATGGTAAAATTAGCTTTATAGTGTCTTCTGTTAAAGACAGAGTAGTAGAGTCCTGTGACAGAATTCTAAAACAAATCTTGGCTTCACAGCAGCAGATGTACTTCTCTTTAACAAGCCAATAAATATTTTAGGTGACTAGAGAGCTGGGACTTCTATAATCTGATCCAAGTTCAAAAGCTAAGCAGGGAGTCAACAGGTACCAGGAAACACAACACCCGTGTAGGTTTCTTTACTGCTAAATTAGAGGATGCCAGACACTCCTGTAAAACCTTCCATTCTGGGCAGTACCTTGAGATGTTATCCAGTCATAACACAGGTGAACCTGAGAACTGATTTCTGTTACAAAGACTGGTAAGTAAAAGTGATTACCAAGAGAAAAATTAAGATATCTAAATTCAGTAGCATTGAGACAAGAAAAGTAACGTCACCACATCCTCATACTGCAAGAGGTGGCCAAGCCGCTTCATTAAGCCCTTTAAATAGCAAATCACGCAGCATCCTCAGCATTTCCCACACAAAGAGGCTGCCTAGAAGACAAAAAAAAAAACAAAAACAGAAAGCGGAAATAAAAACTTCACAACCGACTCCACAGGCGACTTAAAAACAGCAACCGAAACCGCAAGCCGGCAGTGCCCTACGCTTCGGGAATGGCACGGAGGGCGAGGCGGCAGGGCCGGGAGCCGGGCAGCGCCCGGGGGAGCGCGGGGAGCGGGCGGCCGGAGCCGCGGCGGGCGGGGCTGCGCTGCCCGTCCGTCCGATCGTCCGTCTGTCCGTCTGTCCGCCTGTCTGCCCGTCCGTCCGCCCGGCCGCGGCGGGTGCTGCCCGGCGCTGCCGCTGCGCGGGGAGCGCGGGCAGGGCCGGTTCTCGCCCGCCGCCGGGACTCGGGCAGGGCCGGTTCTCGCCCGCCCCCGCCCCGCTCGCGCCCCGCGGTGCCCTCAGGGCTCCGCTCTCCCCTCTCCCCTCACCTCCCGGAGCGGCGGCGCGGCCCGGCGCGGCCCGGCGCCGGGACAGCGGGGCGGCCGCGCCTCCTCCGCCGCTCCCGGCCGCCGGCCCCGCCGCCTGCCGGGCCCCGCTCCGCTCCCTCCTTCCCGGCCTGCCCCGGCCCGGCCCCCTCCCCCGGCCGGGCGCGCCTGCGCGGCGGCCCCGCTGCCATCCGGGTCCCTCGGTGCGGTGCAGCGGGTCGGTAGGCGGGAAATGGCGACTGAGCGCTGAGCGCCGAGCGCCCGGAGCGCGGACCCGCCGCCGCCGCCGCCCGCCCCCTCCGCCCGCCCGCCCGGCCGCCCGGCCGCCCGCAGCGCGGCCCCGCGGCGCCGCTCCCCGGCCCCCGCTCCCGCAGGTGAGTGACGCGGCGGAGCCGCGCGGGTCCCAGCCCGGGATCAGGTGGGGGCGCGGGGTGGCCGCTGCGAGTGACCGGCGGGATGTCCCCTCGGGGCCTGCCCGCCGCGGGCCCGCCGCCCGCGGGCACCGCGCGCCCGCCCCGCTCGCCCGCCGCGGCCGCTCGGAGCCCCGGCGAGCCCCGGCCGCGGCCGTGGCGGGGCGGCCCTGCCGCGGGCAGCGGCGGAGCGGTGTCACCCCGCCTGACACCCCCCGCGCCCCCCCGGGCCGAGGCCTGCGGCGGGTCCCGCCCGGCCCGTGCGCCCCGGGGCCGGGCCGGAGCCGCGGCGCTGCGGGCCGTGCCCGCGCGGGTCCCGCGCAGGACGCGCCTGTTGCTGGCGCGGCTCGGCGCCGGACGCGCCTGTCAGCGGCCCGGGGGCGGCGGGGCGCCGGCTCCGCGCTGCCCGGGCACGGCTCCGCCGGCGGCTCCGCGGATGCCAGCGCGCCGGGGACGCCAACTTTGTGGCCGGCACCGGCACCGTGCAGGAGCCCCGCCGCCCGGGGCCGTTATTGGCATTCCCGGTCCCTGCTGGGAAGGCGGCGGAAGGAATTAGCGAGCCGCATACCACATTGATTATCTGCTCGCTCGGTGTTACTGGAGAGCACCGCACGAGCCTGTTGCTCAATTTTATGGTACTTAAGAGCGCTCGAGAGGACAGGTCTGGCTGTTTGTGTGAGGCTGTTCGGGTGAGCTCGAGCCTACGTCTGTCCAGGGCACTTCGTTCTCTGCGGTGACAGTTGTGATGCTGTTTCTGGTCCCAAGCCTGTTGTTTCTGGGAGGGATTTTCCATCGCCTTCCAGATGTTCATGGTGCGCTTCTAAAAGTAATTTCGAGTTTGTCGTTTTTGTCTTAGCCTTTGTTGACATGTTTCCACTGTTAAGAGTAGCCCGTGAGGAAGATCTCTAAGTGTAACTACTACTCTGTTGCCTTGGGCAAGCGACAACCTCTTTTGCCGTTTCTCCACGAGTAAAATGGGGATAATAATACCTTGGAGAGTTGTTACAAGAAGTAGTTAATGTTTGTAGAAGACTTAAAAGACCTAAGTGTTATTAATTAAGCCCCATGACACATTAAGGTAAGAGTTAGCGAGCCAGGTTTGCACATGGATGAACTGAGGCAGGAAGAGATTATGATTTAGCCAGAGTAACGTCCTGGATCTGTGACAATAGCAGAAAACAAGTTGTAACTACTTCATGCTGTAGGCACAAGGGAGCCGTTCTGGATAACAGATAGGATTCCAAGATACTTGCCCCTCCCTCGCCCCCCCTCCCAATTTCAGGCTTTTCTACTTTAGGAGGTTCTGCCCGTGTGACTTCCAGTTGACTGGATAGCTCCAAGGACACTTATGGCTTGCCCACTTAAAAGTGTTTCAGCAGTTTTCATAACAAGATATATGTTCTAGGATGCTAGCCAAATCCTGACTGAAATTCCATGAAACATTCTCCTCTTTTCCCCTGAAAACATCGTGTGGAACTCAGTTTTGATCCTGTTCCAGTCAGTGCAGTGTGCAGTAAAGCTGACATTCCTGTTCCATCAAAGTTCTTTATTAAAGAAAAATTCCCCTGTCAGTCTGCCCTGGAGATTGAACGGGACAGTTGGGCTGTTTCTCTACGGATGTAAACATTCCACATATGCTGGGGCTGTACGTGCGTTTCATAATTGAAAGGTGATTTTCCATCCCCAGCCTAGCACCGCCAGTGTTGGTGACTCCCTTCCAGGGTGGCAATTCCCCAGCACGAGGATGTGACACTGGCAGAGGCTCAGGAGCATTAAGCAGTTAAAAAACCAGACAAAGTTGTCAGGATTCAAAAGGAAACTGAGGCTTCACCATCCCAAGTTTTACCATACTGCATTGGCTTTTCTTTGATCTCGTGCAATGCCGTGAGGTTGACGCCAACAGAAATCGTGTTTGCAGGAGACTTTGGGAATCACATATGTTCTTTTGACAGATTTCTATGCACATATTTCCCTCCTGTGGAACAAACTTCCACAGGTGTAAGGAGAAGAACAACTTGGGGCACTTGCACATTTTTGTAAAAACCATTCTGAAAGTCAGGCTGAACTATTTTGGCAAGAACTTGCAAGAGAAGCTTGAGCAGGGGGATTGCACAAGAGAAACTCCAGAATTCCCTTCTTACCTCAGCCATTCTGGGAGTCTGTAAAACCATGATGCATGAAGTAGGGCTGGAATTTGACATAAATTTTAAATTCCTGTGTATTTCTAGACGTGTGTATGCTCTGAGAGGAGCTTGAGACTTCCTGCTCTTTGGGACAGTGCCTTGGGGCTCCAGAGCATCACTGTGATCATTTCAGGATCACAGCTGGATAAGTAATCCCAGAACCCTGAAAGTGCCTTTTCCAGGTTATGGGTGTGCAGCTGTGCCCTGTCCAAACCCTGCCCAGGTTCTGCCCCAGCCGTGTGCCTTCAGCCTGCTCTCCCTGGGGAAGCAGTTCTGATGGGTGGTGGGTTTTGGACTTTGGTAGAGTCGCTGCAGGACCTCTGAGATGATCCCACATTTAAAGGCTGCCCCTCGCACACGCTCCCTCTGTGGCTGCATCCTTGTTCCCTAATTCCTGGGGAGTGTTCTTCTCCACAAGTGCCTTTCTCATTCCTCACTGTCAGTAGATCAGATGTGGTGATCCTTGCTCCTCAGAGCCCAGAAAGTAAAGGACCAAGTCTGCATGAAATCCCTTCATTTGCTGGCCCCTGAGTCGCTGTCACCATCTCCTGTGTATTTTAAAGAGCAGATTGGTTTTTGTCTGTTTTATGTGAAAAGTTCCTGGGGTTCTGCTCACAGCTCTGGGGTTCCCAGCACAGGAGGGACATGGACCTGTTGGAGGGAGTCCAGGGGAGACCACCAAGGTGATCAGGAGGATGGAGCAGCTCTGCTGTGGGGGAAGCCTGGCGGAATTGGGATTGTTCAGCCTGGAGAAGAGAGGGAGCCTTCAGGGTGATGTCACTGTGGCCTTCCAGGACCTGAAGGAGCCGGCCAGAAAGATGGAGAGAGACCCTTTACAAGGGTCTGGAGTGACAGGACACAGGGAATGGCTTCCCACTGCCAGAGGACAGGGTTAGATGGGATATTGGGAAGGAATTCCTCCCTTTGAGGGTGGGCAAACCCTGGCACAGGGTGCCCAGAGCAGCTGTGGCTGCCCCTGGATCCCTGGCAGTGCCCAGGCCAGGCTGGATGGGGATGGAGCAGCCTGGGACAGTGGGAGGTGTCCCTGTCCTGGCAGGGGGTGGAACAGAATCAGCTTTAAGGTCCCTCCCAACCCAAAGCATTCTACGATTTTGTGATTTGATGTTCGTACATCCCAGCTAAGTCTTCAGAAAATGCAAATACGCACCACAAGTGCAGAGCTGATTAATCACATCCATGATGGGTTGTGATTTTCAGGGGGCAGACTGTTCAAATGGAATCATTGCTGGCATCCTGGGAGGGAGGAACGAGCTCTCAGCAGCTGGTTTAAGAGGAGCTCTCCCAGCAGGATGTGGCAGTGGCAGCCCTACGGAGGGCTCTGTCCCGGGGGAATTCCCTGGAGTGCCACGGAGCTGCAGTGAGGTGCAGCTCTTCCGATTGCTTCAGAGGAACTCACGTACAGCCGGGTGCTTGAGAGCCTACCTGACATGTTGTTTACATGTTGAGATGCCTAGATGGCCATTATTTAGTGTTTTAGAAAAATAAATATTTGACATTCACAGATGAAGACATTTTCAATAGCACTTGAAAAATTAAGTGGGAAATCATCCACATCTAAAGCAATCAGCTCAGGGGTTGGGTCGGAGCTTCCCAGTTGGCAGTCCTAACTTTTTCTAAATAAATTATTTCCCAATCAGATCAGTTTCAGTAATTACTTTGATTAAGGTGCTCTTAACTTCTTAAATTATAAGTTCTCTCATCATATCCTGCGATCCAAGGAAAACCCTTGTCAGGGCAATCTGCTGTAAGAAAACAGGAGCTGAGCATCAGCCTGCAGTGCGCTTCCACCTCTGCCAGCACTGCAGGATCCATGTGGGATCTGAGGAGATACAGCCTTTGCTGCCTCAGTTTCCCTGTCTGATGGGTCAGTGTTTTGGTAATCCCAGGATCTGTGGCCAAGCCCAGGGGGAGGAAATGTGCAGCTGCTGGTGGACAGGATCAGCTCAGCAGCACTTGATCTCTGCTCTGTTGGGACATTCAAAATACAGCTCCCCATTCAGAGTCCAGCCCCATCAGTCAGAGTTCTGTGCATCCTGCTAAAAATAACCCTAAAGCCAACATTTAGGAAGTGCCTGTGCTGCATTAGATCCAGCAAGGATCCACTGCCCACCAAGTGATGCTTTTGCTGGAGTTACATAGGAAAGAGATGATGGAAATAGAAGTTATTCCTAATAGTCCTAACCTGCCTGAATTCAGAATTCGATTTTGGTGGCTGAGGAGTCTAGTTAGGATGCATGAAACACCTCTAGTTCTGTGTCCATAGTATTTAGTGTAGCAGTATAATTTTAAGTATGATACTGTCATGAAAATAAGTTTAACTAAAAGGAGCTGTTAACTTCACAGCATCTGGAAAATAAGCTATGGATAGTTACTTAAGTATGGACACTTACTTAAAGGAGCAGAGGTACAAAAAATATATCCTGCTAGTCATTGCTAATATTCCAGATATAAGTAGGAGAAAAGAATCTGGGACTGTAAAGCATTTGGATTAGAATTTACCTGTAAATTAATTACCTTATGTGTATAAACAAGAGTGTTGTTAGCAGCAGAATAGGGCCAGGCAGCTGATGCTGCAGGGCTCATTAGCATCCTCAAAGCCTCACAGGGAAGGCAGGGATCCTGTCCTTATTTAGGCTGTGTTTGGGAGTAGCTAATTTAAGTTAATAAAGTAGCAGGAACTCTGATCAAATCAGAGCAGTTGTTCTGAGCAGTTTGGCCTGTGCTGCACCAGTTCAGTCTAAATCATAACTCAGTTTACCC